GAAAACACCTAAATATTTTGGCAAAAACCCAGTTCGTGCTCTAGCATTGGAAGTAACAGTAAATCCATCTACAAAGGAAATGTTTTGGAAGAGAGGACGCGAGATTCCTATTATTAAAAATGTGTTCACCAAGAGGGAGATATTTTCATTATGTTGTAATCTGGTTGCTAATCTACCAGTTGCTGGATGGTTGAGACTCACTTGCAGCTTTATAAAGAGATGTACAAACGAAGCAGGTTGGGATGAACCTATTACAAATAAGTACATAAATGAAATGATGCAGGAAGTTGTGGATGAAGTTATCAAATGCGATCCAGCAAAAGGCGTGTGGAATGTCAAACCAAATGCATCTCTAACTGTATGGTGTGATACAAAATTTGCTGGCAAATCGAGTTGTAATAATGCAAAGTGACAAAAAAATAGAAAATGCAACATGGCTTCGACCAAAGTCTGATGCAATGCATATCAACGTGGCTGAATTGGATACATGTATTGAAGGTCTCAATATGGCATTGAAATGGAACCCAAGTGATGTCTCTATCAAAACTGATTCTCATAGTGTATTCAGTTGGTTAAATTCTGAATTGACTCGTGACAAACCTGTAAAATGTGCTGGGCAATGTGAAATGCAAATTTGACGAAGGCTTCAAATATTTGGAAAATTGGTCGAGGATTATACCATAAGTGTAAAAGTTACAAGGTATCAACAACAAAAAATATTGCAGATGAACTCACACGAGTGCCAACAAAATGGATAAAATACAAAGTTGTGACACAAGAATGTAATATTATCTATAAGCAGTATCATCAGCAGAATAAAAAAGTTCACTCAATAGCACACATGCGAGTTTCCAAGAGTATGAAGTTATGCTCGCGTGCTGGTATCCATATTAACAGAGACACAGTGAAACAAGTTGTCGCTGAATGTGATGAATGCAATTCAATTGATCCTAATGTGATTTCGTGGGATAAAGGAAATCTTGCTGCCAGCAAAGTGTGGGAAAGAGTGGCCTGCGATGTTATTCATGTTGATGTATCTTACCTGTATTGATTGTGGCCCAAGCAGATACATGTTTTGGACAACACTATGAGCGACAAAAGTGCAACAATGGTTGTTCAATCGTTAGAAACAATATGGTCATCGCTTGGACCTCCTTAAGAAATTCTCCTAGATAATTCTAAGTCGTTTAGATCTCAGACTATACAAGCTATGGTGGTGAAGTGAGGAATAAGAATTATTTATCAAGCTGTTGAAAAACCATCGGGAAATAGAATTGTTGAAAAAATTCATCGGACAGTAAAAAGAACAAATGCAAGAGCAAAATGTGGAATACCTATTTCTGTCTTTTTTTTTTTTTTTTTCAATTATGTACCATCAAAACATGTCACACCTTTTGAAATCTTTTGCCATCAATACAAACGCGTCCAAATTCCTGGAATCGACTATATCAAATCAACACAAAAGTCTCTGAATAAGTGTCAAGGATAGAAAGTTGGCGATAAAGTGTGGGTGAGGCCTAAGCATATGGCGCCGTGTACACAGCGATGGTTAAAAGGAAGTATAGTAGCACTGCATAATATTTTACCAGCTGAAGTTGAAGTTAACGGACATGCGTTGCCACAACATTTTTTACATCTGCAGCATCGTCGTGTAGACAAAAATGAAGAAGATATAACAACTGATGAATAAAATCTGACACTGGTTAAATCTCCCGAAACGAACTTAAAACACGTCGCAATCGAAGATCAAAGTTCTCAAATAAATTCCCTGGAGGACAGCGAAGTTGACAATAGTATGCACCGCACTGATAAAAACTATTCAACAAATTGTGAGACAGAGTTACAGCCTGTTCGGTTCACTTGCTATGGGAGAAGAGTACTTCCTAACCGGAAGTATCAAGATTATGTATGAGCTCTTGTTGAGCTAGGGGAGATGTTGTGATTTTAATGCGCATCAATAATTTGTTGATAATTAGCTTTGCTAATTATTGTCAAAAGTCACACGTTGCATATTTTTATTATTATAACGTTTTGTATAACAACCATTAATTGTTGACAAGAGTCACAAGTTGTATTTTTAAATACTATATATAGTGAATAATTTTTTATGTAGAGATGTTGAGATTGTTGATAAGTAATAAAAACATTAAAAAACAAAATGGCTTCTTAATGCGTTGAACAACAACTTCTGCCATTTTCTTCTGAAGCTGCTACCTCTCTACATTCTGATACTCAAACCTATTTTAATCTTGTTTGTCATACCACACATCCATCATCATCTTTTCTTTCAGCAAATACTACACCATATAAATACTAAAGTTTGTACATATGTAAAGATATTGTATGCCAGCATCTAAATAAATACCAAACATATATGTTTATATCCATATTATGTATGCATACATGTGCCTATTACCTATCCTGGTAATAGTAGAGCATTTATACAGTAATGGTGTAGTGGTAGAGTGGTAGAGTGAGCCTCATTCTACTCCATGTTTTTCACCTTCTTGTGCAGTTGCTATATTAAATTGTAATCATTTTTTTCATCTTTTTTACAAGAATATCACCCTTGAGAACAAATGTCTTTTTATTATTGCAAGAAATCAATGTAAATATGTCCTATCTGATGCTAAGCTCTGTTATTCTCAGTTTACTAAATCTTATATCTCATCTTAGATGTTACTTTTGGATCTTTTCAATCTTCCACATAGTCATAACTAAAGTCTAACATTCCATCTCTAATTCATGGATCTGATCTTATTACTTCTCCCCAAAATAAAGCAGTATTGTTTGCATAGAATGTTTCCTCTAACTTGACGCTTAAATCTAATGGTAATACTCTTCAAGCCATTACAGTTAAACAGATTAATCAATTGTTAGACCCTCTGGCTTCAAATGTTAAAGTTGATTCTCAATTTTAATCTTCTACCACTTTTGGTTCAGACAACATTTTCATCATCACTCTTTTTTCTTGCTTTTTTTTATAAACATCTTTGCTTCCAACAAGACTGCAAGCAACCACTAATTAGAGTTGGAAGTTACTGGAAGAGAAAAGATGAAGATTGTAGAGCAAGATAACGGTTGACAGACGACTTAAAAGATTGCAAATTATATGAATCAGTAAAGCAAGATCAAGGAAGCGAATTCCAAAGAACTGATGTTCGAGGAAAAAAACTAGTGGAATAAGAGGAACAGTCACAAAAAAAGGATTAGACTTAATTGAATGACAAGTAATACAAGAATGAATTTTAGTAGGTGGCACAAGAGATGCTAGCTCTTTAGAGCAGTGCCCATTTTAGTATTTGTGAAAAAGAGAAAGAGAAGCGACATTACGACGACGTGATAATGGCTGAAGGTTGGCCGCAAGAGCAGGTCCAACTATGTTTGCAATGCGTTTTTGCACCTTGACTAAAAGAGAAAGGGCATCATTAGAAGATCTGCCCCAGATATGGCAACTCTTCCTAATTTCTAATAACTTTAGGAGTACAGCAAGGTTCTATCTTTGTTCCTGTATTGTTTTTTAATCTACAATGACAATCTTCCTGACAATTTTGTATCTAAAGTGGCTCTATTTGCTGACAACTCAACTTGATACTCCTATTATTAAAAAGAATCTTCATTTTTTGATTGCTTAGAAAAAGCGACTGATCTTTAATCTTATCTCTCTTCTGTAAGAGCATGCGGTATGCAGTGGCTTGTGGATTTTAACTCCAACAAAACTCAGTTATTTACTGTAAACAACTATCCAAATATTGTTGACATTCCTATTTTGACAAATAACAACCCTCTCACTTTCAGACAAAGTCCAAAAGCACATTGTAAATGTAGCTGGACCAGCTTAATCTCCCAAGCTTGAGCCACTCTCTGATTGTTGTAAGGTTGCATCTCAATTTTTTTTCTACAAATACTATTATGGCTGCTCAAAAAAAATCATCTCTAATTCAATCAATCAAAACTCATTCTCGCTTGTCATCTAGAAAAGTTACATGTTTTTATTGTATCTGTCCCTCCATGATATAAAATTCTTTTATCCATCTAGTTTATTTCCTTGCACATTAACAAAACCTCAAAACTTTCACCCATCTTCATATTTTCTTGATTATACAATCTACAACTTTTTAAATTTTCAGTTAACCTTTTTCTCTCTCTTTAGCCCTGTCTTTTCTTTTCTAGTAGCTCATAACTTAGTAGTGGTTGCTTGCAACATTGTAGGTGAAATAGGTTTAAAAATATAAATATATGCCAGTATTTGATAAATAATAAATGTATAAATTTATAATATATAAAGCATTATAAGTTTTTTTCTAGCTCTGGCAATCAAACCCTGTTAAAACTTATAAATTTGCCAGAGCCATAGCTGGGTTTGTAAAAAGTTCCATTTTTAGACAGGGCTGGGACCCCAATCACTTATTAGGGATGGGGGTGGAGAATAGGGGTGGGAGATGGGGTAGGTTAGTTGTTGGCACAAATATAGAGTAAACAGTTTCTTATCTTTTCTCCTTTTTAATTAACTAAAATTGAAATGGTTTTATTAACAAAATTATAAACAATTATGTAAGGGGAGTAATATTTTTACATTTTCTTGCTGCAATAAGTTTAAAATCTAAAAAATTTTAATCAAAAATTTAAACCTAACAAAAAGTACTTATAGTTGAAAAAATAAAAAATAAAAAAAAAGTCCTCACAAAAGCATAGAGGTCATTTTTGGCATATAATGGGGATTTATTTAACTTTACATTTTAGTTAATGTTAAACAATTCATCTTTAAATGAAAGGGTTTATCATTTTTAATTTGAGGAAGAAGAAAAATTGTTGTATAAAGAAAAATACTCATTATAGTCATATTGGTATTACTGTAAAAAAATTTCTGAAACTATTTAAATTTAGTGTTGCATTTGAAATCTATAAATCAATAGTGTTGTGCAACAAAATAATAAACAAGTATAAAATAAGTTGTTTTGAAATTCATTTAATATATATTTTTTGCTAAATTTGTTTAGGCAGTTTCCCATCATTAATTGCAGGTGTTTTGTTTGGAGGATTAATTGCTTTTGGAGCTACTCAGACTTCGCAAAATCCTAAAAATATTTTAGTTGTTTTGGGTGAGTTTTTCTGCTTTTGTTTGTCATATCATAGAAATATTTCTGATTTTTTTTTTTTTGCTTTATTTTTGCCAGTTGTAAGCATAATCTTAATGATTGTTATGGGAACACGATTTTATAAAAGTGGAAAGTTTATGCCAGCTGGATTGGTTTTTGTTTTGAGGTAAATTATTTAGTTTCTGGATATGATAACATACTTCTGGATATGATAACATACATGATATACTTGGCTTAAAGGTTTAAGGATTTGGCTTCAAAGTTTTTGTTAAAAAACCTGGTTTTTCTTTTTTTTTTTTTAGCATCCTGAACATTTGTCGTCATTTATACAATTATAAATGGAAATAGCAAATCTGGTAAAGTTGGTCAAAATTCACAAACTGTTGAAGTTTATGAAATAGTCTGTTTAATTCTTGTGTTGCCTTCAGTTGCTATGGCAACTTAATTTTTTTGTTTTACTGTTTTGTAAATTATTTACTTTTTTGTTTTGTATAAAAATTAAATGTTATTATTTTAGTTTTTTTTACTGAATTTTTTTTAATATTAATAATATTTTAAACTAATTTTTATGTAATTTAAAATTTTATCATTAATAAAAAAATTTATAAAAATTATTTTATGGAAAAAATTTTTTTTTCTTCCATAAAATAACTTTGTTTCCATAAAACAAAAAAGTAATAAAAATTCAATGTCAAAAGAAATTTTGATACAAGATAACCAATAGAAGATAAATGTACTTAAAAAAAGCCATTTGCAGGCGCTTCAGTTCATTCATTATATACTGCGTTGCTTCAGTTCATTCATTATATACTGCGTTGCTTCAGTTCATTCATTATATACTGCGTTGCTTCAGTTCATTCATTATATACTGTGTTGCTTCAGTTCATTCATTATATACTGCGTTGTATGGTTGGTGTAGTACTAATATATTATGCTCACTTAAATTTTGATGCACTTTAATTTAGATACACAGTTTTTTCTTCAGAAAAAATAGAATAAAAAATGAATTATTTGTTGTAATTTGTGTCATTTGTAGGAGCTACTTTCCAAACCCAAACCCTCAGTAGATGTATGTAATTAAGCTCACACCTATAGCATTTTCATTATTAATATTTCATGCACAGCTAAGTATGCATTTAATGTAATATATATATATATATATATATATATATATATATATATATATATATATATATATATATATATATATATATATATATATATATATATATATATATATGTATATATATATGTATATATATATATATGTATATATATATGTATATATATATATATATATATATATATGTATATATATATATATATATATGTATATATATATATATATATATATGTATATATATATATATATATATATATATATATATATATATATATATATATATATATATATATATATATATATATATATATATATCAATAATAAAAGTAGTTTCTCGGTAGACAGTGCTCAATACAAAGAGCAAATATGTATTAAATTAATAATAAAATAAATACAATAAATACTCAAATTAAAATCAAATCAAATTCAAATCTAATTGTATTTATTTTATTCAAATCTAATTGTATTTAATTGCTTTTGCCCACACTTCCCTAAAATGATTTACAGGACCAATTTAATTATCATTGTAATTAAAATGAAAATTAATAATTATCAATTATCAACTAAAATGAAAAAAACAAAGTCATTTTAATAAAATTTAACTGCATAATAAACTGCTATGCTTTTTAAAAAAGCACGGTTGTTGCAAAAAAAAAATTAAAAAAATGCATAGATTTAAATGCAAATGTTTTTGATTAGATTATACCAACTGATAAATATAAAATTATTACACTCTTAATTATATTGATAAAAAATAAAATTATTACTCTTTCAATTATTGCGTAATAATTTTTATTTTATGTGATGAATTATATTTTTTATATATTAGTTACTTTAATATATTATTTGCTTTTATTGTAGAATTTTTAACTGTTGTAATAATTCTTAAAATGCCTGCATACTATTACAATAAGAAAATAAAGACATTTTTCATAAAGAGTAAAAACTTTTAAAGCTCTTTGTCAATTTTTTTATCGAATAAGTAAAGTTGTTAAAAAATAAATGGATAGCTAATGTTAAAAGCCAAAGACTGTTCTTGTAAATAATATTTTCATGACGCAATAAATGACTCTTGTTTTGAATATATTCTTGTAACATTAACATTACAAGCATATGCTTGTAACATATATAAAACCAAATGTTTTATATAATATATGATAATAATAATAATAATTGTATATATATATATATATATATATATATATATATATATATACACACACACACACATATATAGTTTTTTATTTATTTTTAATGTTTAAGTAAATAAAATGATATCTATCAAGTCTTCTATTAACTGTAGTTTGGGGTCTATACCTGTTTTGCGACCTGACAATGTATCTTTAGGCAAATGTGTCACTTGCCATCAATTTATTCGCAAATATGCTACATTTAATGATGTTGAAGTGTTAAACATGTTAAAAGATGGATGCTTGTTTAAAGGATTTAAAAAAATTCCAATCGAATCCATAGAAGAAGAAGGGTTTGTAAATATGCATTATGTTTTAGTTTTATCATTAAATGATGACACAATTATTAAAGAAGTATGTACCCAAAAAACAAACAATCTTTTAGTTAAAATGAATGATTTAGTAAATGGGAGTGTTATTGTCGTTACAGATATTGATTCAGTTGCTGTAATTATATATAATTCTTTTCAAACGTTGAAAGTTTTTTTCTTTTCAAAAAACACTATGAGATTAGTGTTGCAGATGACATATCATATACAAACATTAATTGAATTTCATGCTTATTTAGTAAAAGACATATTATATTTATACAATGGTGATGTTGTTGTATTAAATTTCCGATCAATGGAAACCTTCACACATACAATTAACAAAAAATCTCTGATGTCAAGTGAATTATTTGTGACTAATTACGAGGGCCAATTAAGTAACCAGACAAACATTTTCAATTGTTATTACTTGCATGCTAATATAAATTTTAATTGTATTTTTATTACTTCTGTTGATGACATATGTTGTAAGTCAACAACAATAGTTAAGGTAGGTAAGCAACTATTATGGGTTTCAGCTGGTAGCACCGAAATTAAAATCAGAGAAATATCAGATAAGAAAGAGTTGATACTTATAAAAACATTCAATTTGGAATCAATCTATAATGATAATAGTGAGTTTACATTTGAAAATATTTGTTATTGTTCTTGCACTTCTCAAGTCTTTGTTTTGTATTTTAAAACATTTTTCGAATCGACAACTAGCTTAATTGTTGTGCTTGACCTTGTTCTAATGAGAGTTTCAAGTTTACTTGAAATAGAGTTGACACTAAACAGAAAACCTAGTTTTACTATATGTCCATCAAAGGATGGAAGGAAAGTATTTGTTCAAGAAACATTTGAAAACAAGGTTATATTTTATCAAGTGTTTACTTTATTGCCTTCTGGACTTTCATTACTAAATATTGTTAAAGCATATATTCGAAATAAATTTTCAGAGGATGATGTTGAAAAGATGTCTCTTCCAAAGTCTCTTCGAGAAGATCTTTTAGATGGTTACTAACTGTTTTATTTTAATTTGTAAATAAAGTTAACAAAATATATGTATGTATAAAAATATATCCTAAGTGTTAAATAATTTATATTAATATAAGTGTAATACGCTTATATTTTTTATTATTGATTTATGTTTTTTAGTGACTCTAATGTAATATAGTTTATTTATAGAGAATTATAATTCCTTCCCTAAATTATTGTTAAAAAACATTCTTTTTAAATACCCTTGATAGAAAATTTGATTTTTTTTAAAGAAACAATTATTGTGTATTCATACCAATACAGAAAACTAGAAGGATATAAAATTTCACTAAAAGTGAAATTTTACATTCAAAGATTTTGAAAACAAAATCAATTTATCTCTTTATTTTCAAAAAAAAAAACAATAAGGTTGTTTCTAAGAACACTAAGATTGTTTCTAAGAACACTAAGACTGTTTCTTAGACTTGTTTTTCTAATTCTTTTTATAGAGAAAGTTATTTCAACTAAAATTTTTGTTTACAAAAAAAAAAAAAAAAAAAAAAAAAAGTTTTAATAGCTTTTTGACTGGATACCATTATTTATTGAGTTTTCTAAAAAAAAAATTGTTTACTTTTTACTGGGTACCATTATTTATTGAGTTTTCTAAAGAATTTTTTGCTTTTAGAGTAAACAAAAATTTCTTTAGATATTCTTGCCAAGTAATAATATACGCAACTAATAAGTAATTATATACCAAGTAATAATATACACAACTCTGAAGAAATGGTTATTGCTTAACCACTACTCATTCACTGCTTGTGTGTGACCATTCAACAAATTTGTATGCTAAAGTTTTTAAATAGTATCATTTACTTAGTGGATACTATTATTTATTTAGTTTTCTAAAGAATTTTTTGTTTGCAGAGTAAACAAATAAAGAAAAGGTTTTATGGTTTTTGGCTGAACAAACATGGCAAATAAGAAGATGATATATATTGGTATAAAATATTATTTTATCTAAAAAATGTTAACGTTTTCAATTTTCAATAAATAATAACTATAACAGTATTAATAATGATAATAATGTTAATAATTATTGTAATGGTATGATGATGATGATGATGATGATGATGATGATGATGATGATGATGATGATGGTGATGATGATGGTGATGATGATGATGATGATGATGATGATGATGATGATGATGATGATGATGATGATGATGATGATGATGATGATGATGATGATGATGATGATGATGATTGGACTCTCAATCCTTTATTGTGTTCCTTTTAACTAAAAAATAAACTGTACAAAAAATTATTATGATATTTTGATAGGGGTTGCTCAATCAACTTGATATTATCAGATTTTAGGGTCAACGGAAAAAAAAACAAATGTATTTTTTAATCAGATTTTGATACAAATTGTTCACTTGTTTTCATTAACTCCCTCGCAATTGTGGACTTTCGCATCTGGAATTTGATGTCGATGTTCTTCCACAGTTTGTAAAACATATTGCAATTGAGTTTCATCTTTTGTCAAGTTTTTTATTTAATCTGAAACAATTTTCACCCCTCTTTCGGCTGTGTCATTCACAACTTTCATAGAATTAATAATTTTGTATGCTTCCTGGTATTCAGTTACTGTACTCTGTGTCTAGGGAATGGTCCTTCATAAATGTCCAATTTATTCCAATCACTTCAAATATATATATTGATCTATTAGTTACAAAGTTATCTAAGTTCATTTTTACAATTGTATCCATTAATCTTTTACCTTTTAAGCTTTTTTTTTTAGCTGGGTTTTCAAGTGCAATCAACATTTTTTCTTTAGTTTGGTTATCAATATCATTGCTAAAAAAAGATAGAGATAAGTACTTCAGTTAAATACCATAAATGTCCTGCAATGACTTTTATAGCAGATTCAGCAACTTCTTTATCAAATATTTTGAAATCATCCAACTTCTTAATCAGTGTCATTAATCAGTGTCATTAATCATTATGTCATCATTGTGAGGAGCAGATGAAGAGATGAAAGCCCAAAACCAGTGTTTCAATTTAAATTTGAATTTGAAAAAATTGAAAATTTTAGAAGATTCTTCTCTTCAATCTTTGTTAAATGAAATTGATGTCGAAACAAGTATATTTTAATAGAGTAGAGTGGGTCTGTGACTGTTGAACACATTATTTTTTCTTCTATTGTGATTAGTTTTAAAGCATCTTCATGAGCAATATTGAATAGTTCTTTGATTTCTTGAGAAAAAGTTTCTTCATTTTTTTGCTGAGTTTCTGTTTTGCGACGTTTATTCTTTTTCAGCTTTCCATATTTCTAAACAAGTTTTTTAACATGTGTTGTAACATGATAACGTTGCTTTGTCAGAACTCTAGCTCTTTGCTAAAAGTCTAGAACCAGATCTGTCACAAGGCCTGTACTTTCTCTTACATTGTTGTTATTTTCTTACATTGCTGCTATAAGTTTGCAAAACTTGCCTTTTAGATGGCAACTTTTGTTCTGTGATCACAGTTGTAGCTTGACCAACACACCATACTTCATTTTGACTTCTAGCCTCCTTTATAAATCATCTTCGAAAATATCTATCAAATTATGTATTTTTAAAATGTATTTTCATTCAAGGCAATGAACTCATTTGGAATTACAGGATGATGCACTAATTTTGGCAGTAGTACAATACTGATGCAATAACTTAAGTGAATGATGAAGTATTACAGTGAGTTTTGTGAATTCCAGCCAACTTATTTTATTTTTAACTTATTAATTTTCTAAAAAAAATAACAAAGTGTATTATGCATAATGACTTAAAAGATTAGGAAAATTAAAAGATTAAAAGATTAGGAAATAATAAAATATTGATAATATTCTCAACTTAATTAGTAGAAAGTAGATGTGATGAATAGTAAAGTAGATGTGATAAGTGATGTGTAGAATAAATGTGATAAGTGATATATTGATAAGTCATATGAAAAATTGTGTGTTCGCGCAATCTTGCAAAATTAGAAAATTGGCTGAGCAACTGAGCAAAACATTAACATATTGCATCAAAAATTTCCCAATATCATTTTTTCATTAAATGGAACCAATTAAAAGGTTAAGAGCATAATAAAGAAAAAAAATATTTTTTCAATGCATTTATTTGTCACCCTAATAAATATTCATAAATCTGTTATAATTTTTATATTTATTTTCATTATATTACTTATATAGATTAAATTTATTTATATTTTTTTCATTAAAAAAATTTATAACTGAGTAATTTATAAAATTTATAAAAATTTATTTGTCTTTTTTTGCAACTTTTAATCATTATATTTTGTCTATAAGAAGTTTTAAATTATCTTAATTTATTCTCATTAAGTTAGCAATCAATCCATTCTTATCAAGTTAGCAATCAATCCAATCTCATCAAGTTAGCTATCAATCCATTCTCATCAAGTTAGCTATCAATCCATTCTCATCAAGTTAACTATCATTTGGTCTTATTTTTATGAGTTTTATATTTTGCTAATTAAACACATTGTTGAGGAACATAATTTTCAGTTTATTTATATTCTCATATTTATTCCCATTGCAATAAAAAAAATTAGAATTTGGATTTTTTTGTTTCAAATTTCCAAAATAATCAGAAATTGCAAAAACAAGTTACCTCTCTTTTTTATGTGTTTCATTTTTTTATGTGTTATTGTTATCTTGTAAGTAATTTTTTTTTTTAGGAGTTTATTTCTGTTATGTACAGATTCAATTTATTTATTATAGGTGGATTGGCAGAAGAAGTAGAAGAAAAAATATTGCATGCCGCATTTATTCCATTTGGTGATATTATTGATGTCAATATTCCAATTGATTATGAAACAAGCAAACATCGAGGTTTTGCTTTTATGGAGTTTGAACTTGCTGAAGATGCTGCTGCTGCCATTGATAACATGAATGAAAGTGAATTATATGGTCGTACAATTCGAGTAAATTTGGCAAAACCAATGAAAAATCCAGAAAGTGCGTCAAGAGGAATATGGAGCACAGATGAGTGGTTGACTGAAAATATAGGACGTGATGATAAAAATCAAGAAAAAAAAGAAGCAGTGCAATCTGAAGATGTGAGTTTTTAATGAGTAAAAATGTTTCATTATTTATCTTATTAAAAAAAAATTTTTTTTAAAAAGTAAAGTGAATTTTAAGATCTATTTACCTTTCATTTATTATTGATTTATTTCTAGGTATTATTTATTTTATTTTTAATGAAATAATGAAATGATAATCCCAGTGATAATCATCATAATCATCACAGGACTTGGTTGGCTTAATTGGTAGTTTTATTTTGTTGACATTTGTCTCAATATCGAAGAACATTTAAGGGAGAACTGAAAAGAGAATAACAAGAGAATTTTTGATAAATAGTGAACCAAATAAAATTAAGATGGTACACTCTTAAATATAATACATGCATAAAAAAGATGTTGATCACCCTCTTATATATTCTAAATCTTTTTTATTTTTATGTAAATAATGTGAACTTTTTTCTAATTTTTTTTTTTGATAAACTTTTTTTCTGAGAACTTGTTTACGAAGGTTTAAGCTTTATGTAGAGTAAGAAAATTTTGCTAATATTAAAATTACTTAGTAAGAGAATAACCGAATAAGAAAATCATTTAAATATGATCATTTTATTACTTGCTTTAAAGTAATGAAGCTAAACTTAAAATAAAAGAAAAATAATTTTAATAACTAACAATACTAATAAATTCTGTTTTATTGTTTGTACATAATGATTTAAAATTTGAAGTAAATAAGTAGTTACCTCTTTTTATTCACTTATATATTTATTTTTTAATTGGCAAATTGTGGACATAAAATATATAAATTTGCTAGTTATACAAAACTTTTTTCTCTTGATACAAAATATATATTTGTATATTGTTTATAACCATGTTTATAACCTTTTTTAAATGAAAATATGTAATAGACCATTTTTTGGAGTTAAATTAACAAATGGTTTCAAACATGTAATTAATAATTAAATTTAAATAAAAAAAAAAAAAAAGTAAATATAATATCAATTAATTGGCAAATAAAAATAACTAATAATAACATAGTTTAACATAATAAAATTAAATATAAACTTTAAATATCAGTTAAAAGTTATCTGCTTTTATATATCATATTAAATTTTTATATTTATACGATATTATAAGATTATTTTTAGATTTGGCAAAATCAGTTTGCTTTCCACAAAAATTTTAAAGTTTTTTGTTTTAAATAGTCTTAAACTCTAAAAAATAGTTTTGTTTTAAACAGTCTGGTCAGAGCCGCATGAAACTTTGAACCTTTAAACCTTTTTGAAGTTCTGAGCCAGAATTTTAACCACTGATTTCTGCTTTTAAATAGGCACATTAAAATATACCTAAATAGGCACATTAAAACCTAATTTAAATATTAGCATATTTTGATAAAACTATATTCAAATCTTTTTCAAATCAGCTAAAAGTGTTTTAGAAGAAATCTAAAATTTTTTTGAAATATCATGTAAGTTTAATTTAAAGTTTGTAGCATGATTCTATCAATTTCTCCCACTCAATAGTTGAAAGATTACTTCAAGAAATAAGCATAGTATTAATTTAGATGCTAAACAAATTTAAAAATATGTAATAAACTTGAAAAATATTTAAACAAAATAAAAATAAATGATCGCATTTTTACAGACAAATAAAGAACCAACTTCAAAAAAACGGCGAACAAATCCAAAAGTTTACTTTGATATAAGTATTAATGATCAGTACACTGGTAGAATACTGATGGAGTTGCGATCAGATGTTGTTCCTGTAACTGTAGGTATACAATATTTTTTATATCTTATGTGGATATATAATATATAAAATATAACTTATTAACTATATTAGATGCTATACTTATTTTGTAGATTGCAGTAGTGACATAACACCATTAAAAGTTCATGTAAAATAAAAAGACTTTGTAAAAACTAAGTAGACAAAATTGCAAATATGTTAATGTGAAATAAATTTTTTATACAAGTTTCTTCCCAAAAAAGCAATAATTATCAAAATTGGGAGTTACATGTGTGTTAACAGAAACTTAGGAGTTACATGTGTGTTAACAGAAACTTAGGAGTTACATGTGTGTTAACAGAAAAAAATTGTATGAGTCTGGAAAGTATAAAGGCAGGAGTGAATTCTAAAGTATTGATGTGCGGGGAAAGATGGATTTTTCAGAGGCAAATAATGAAATCAAAAATAAGAAAATAGAGCGTTAAATAAAAAAAAAAAAGCAACTTAAGCATGTGTTGACTTTGCGATTAGTTATATATTGAAATGATACCATAAAAACGTTCCCATATAAATCATATGAAGAGAGCTTATGAAGTAGACTACCATGTCAGACATTGTCAAAAGCTTTTGATACGTTTTGACCCATCTATTGCACAGTACACCCACAGTAGACCACCTGTTGTAATGTATAAAAAATTTAGCAGCAGAGTAAGAGAAATCATTGATTGAGTTTCAATTATTAGATAAGTTATTAAAAATTCTCATTGCAAAAGTTATAAAGACTCATTGCAAGTTATAGAAAAAATACTTATTTTTTTTATTTTATTTTTTTATTTTATTTATCTTCTACGCTACTTTATTATGGTTACAACAATTTTTTAACTCCATAACTCCAAAACCTTGACAACTAATGTTGCTGTGGGGAGAAACAAGTTAAGCACAATACTACCAGGGACGTGGGTTCTAACTCAGAATTTCACATTTATGAAGCGAGCTCTCTACTACTACACCACTATTGCATAATGATTGCACAATAGTTAAATGGGTTAAAGTGATTTCAATATTAGAATCAAAGAAATACAGTCTTGGGAAGAAGGAGAAAGATAAAAATGATACATTAGTATATCCCCATGCAAAGCATGTAACTATTAGAGTCTTGATTGTATATTAAAGGATAATAGCCATCAAAACTGAAGTCTGAATAAAAAACAGCCGAGTTTAAATTAGTGTCACAAACAGCAACTAAGACTAATGAATTTTGCAAGATGTTAGATTTAACAGGTGAAAATAACTTTAAAGACTGTTAATATTTGTAAAAGATAAATAAAGTTTGATAGTAATGTTGAGAAATTATATTTGTAATGGTTTATATATAAATATTTTTAGGCAGTATAGTTGTTTTAAATTATATCATTTAAATCATTACATTATCCTTATTTATCATTAATTATTTATGATTATTTATTAAAATGAACTTTATAATAGATTGTGCATGACACCCTAAACATTAAACTATGCAGATGTCTTAGTCTTGCAAGTCAACCCAAAATCATAATAAAAGGGTCTTTATGTGGCCTCAATTCACACCAAAATTACTTACAGGGGCAAGTAAGATAAGTATAAGAAAGGGTGAAAGAATAATCAAGAGAAATTTTCTGCTTACTCCTATTTGCCAAGGTGGCCTTCTGCAAATGAGTAGTTGAATGCAGGTAACTTCTGCCCAAGATAAGTTTTTTTGTTGAGACATCAATCTCTAGTCTTAACCAAGAATTTAGAGTTTTAAGTCAGGGTTAATTTCTTGCGGCCTTTGCCTGGAAATGTTGATCCTTTAAGGCAACAACTTGTGGCAGATGCTGGATTACATACACAATTTTGTTTATTCACTTTTATTACATTCTATTTTATATTGTGCACAATTAATCTTCTTAGCAGTTAATTAACAGGTTTTAACAAGTTTGTTCAAATTTAAGCTAATCTAATGGCTAATTAAATGATAAATCTATTATTAATGTTTAATTAATGATTCTAAATAGTTTTAATTATTTTAATTTGTACAACTTTAACTTATTATTAACTTTCGATTTTACATCATAATAATCAGAGTTTATGAAAAAAATTGTTTTAATATATGACTTGATTTTATTATCACAAATACAAAAAAGGATAATGAAGAAATAGCCAAAATTTCTACAGAGTTTCTTAAATTAATAAGTTAATTTGTTCTGTGTGTCTGGATTAGCACCACATGAACTGAAAGTAATAATCACCCTCTTTAAGAGTATTTCAGTTGAGGAATGTGCAATGGAACTCAGCTTATTATCAAGAGGTTGATTCAAATTTGATTCAGTTGAAAATTGTGACAGGAAAACACAAAGATATATTTTTAAAAGAGATATTTTAACAGAGACATTTTTTCCTTCTCGAATCAATATGAATCCAACTGAAAATCATTTACATTAATTTGGCAACAGTCTCCGGTTCAACCTGCCTTTTCAATGACTATCAACAATTATAAGGACATTTGATTGTGTTGGTATCTACCTGAGAGCAGAAGCGTAAATAATTATTAAATCCGGTTTAAATTAAGGTGAAAATAATCATTCTGATAGGTATTTTACTTTCAATGTCATTCACCATGAAGCATTGATGTAATTTATGTATTTTTATGTGTTTTGTCATAGAAAGAAAAGAAAAAAAGTTAAAACAAATGTAAAACTTTATCTAATTATTACCACAATTCTGCCGGGCTATTTGCCTGGTAGTAAATAGATAACAAAAACATATTCAAAAAGTTTGCTATATTTTTAAAGAAATTTGGTTTTTAAACAAAAGAATATTTTTATTCATTTTTATTTTTTAGAAAATTTTCGTTGTTTGTGCACTCATGAAAAAGGTTTTGGGTTTCGTAAAAGTACTTTTCACAGAATTATTCCTGGATTTGTATCTTTTTAGAATTTATTCTTAAATATTTTATTCATAACTATTTTGTTTTTCTTAATGTATATAAGGAAATCAATAAATATGAATTTATTTGTGCATGAAATGCTACTGTTGATGTCTTACTAAAATAGCCAAGAGATGCAGTATTTTCTATGCTGGACATATAATACAGCAAAAACAAATTTATTTCCTCTCTCTCTGTATATAGTATGTGTAATAATATTATAAGCATTAAAACATCATATACAGTATCATACTTTCTTTTTTTTTTTTTTACAAGATATTTTGGCTCCTAGAGAGAGCCATTATCAAACAAATAAAACCGTTAAAAAACCATTTAAAAAAATTATAATGAACGTAGCAAAATGATGTCATTGCAACGTCAGATATTCAACATTTTTTAATTTTACAAAAAGTGTTCCAACAGTCATTTGATAATGGTGCTCACTATATGAGCTGAAATATCACATAAAAAAAAGAAATAAATAGTATGATGCCGCATATGCTGTTTTAATGCTTATTTTATATATATATATATATATATATATATATATATATATATATATATATATATATATATATATGTACACACACTTACTAAAGCGTGTTTTGATAAGCATTTGCTCACTTTTTCTGCTTACCTTAAGCTATACTGTTTTTTTGGAAAAAGAAGAAAAAAACGAAGAATGATGAATGAAACGATTGCTTCCCCATCCCAAACCCTCAGTCAATGTAGCAGCACTCCACTGCGAGTCAGGCTATTTGTCAGTCAATGTATGTACTGAAGCCCCCAGCAGCAAGCTATTTCAGTATGATGTCATATTACTTAGTTTAAAATATAGGTAGAAAACTTTGAAGAATTCAAATTCTTAACATATATATATAGATGTGTCAAGGAGGTGACTTTACTAAAAATGATGGAACAGGAGGTACTTTTTTACAGGTTTTACAGAGTTTTAATTAAAAAACTGTCAAAATTCAACAATAAATGAACAATAATAAGAACATAGCAATGCTAATGTTTGAATATTTTAAAGTCGTTGATAAAATCAGTCTCTTTAAGAGTTACCATCTTATTTAATTGTAAAACCTTTTAAAATTGAAAAAACTATTAAAATTCTTTAATTAAAGAATTTTAATAGTTTTATTTGAAGCCAAAAAACTGAATCTGTGACCTTCAATTTATGGTTCATGTTTTTTAATTTACTTAATGTACTTTAATACTTTGCTTTATATACTTTAATACTTCATGTTTTGTTCTCATTTTATCTACTGATTGTTTGTTGTCAAATAATTTTTTTTTTTTCAGGAAAATCAATATTTGGAAAAAAATTTGAAGATGAAAATTTTGTACTTAAGCATACAGGACCTGGTAAATTTTTATTGTGTTAAATAATTTTTTATTTGAATTTTAAAAATCTACAAACTTGTAAGACACATAAAAACATATTTCATTTAGACTATTCCCTTGTATACATGGTGACTCTTTGGATTTATCATGCCCAGAATTTACCCATCATGCACACCAAAAAACTTTTAATATGCTCAATGTTATTACAACACATTTCTTCCCGTCAATAAAACTTAAATAACTTGAATAAAATTTTTGAAAATGTCAAGTATTTTTTATATTGCTCATTTATTTATTAAATAATATAATAATAATAATAAGTTGGAGCCGTAACAACTGAGAACAGATGTGGAGTACAATAACATAAGATATTGTACTATAACAGCATTTTGAAATAATTATAGTGTTTTATCTCTACACAATTTGTTGAGGTAGTTCTTGAATTTGTCAATTGAGTCAGCGTCTATGATTTCATTTGTCAAGCCATTCCATGGATTACTTACTCTGTTGAAAAAAAAGTTAAATCTACACTTGCTTTTACAAAAAGATTTATTCAAAGTTATTTGTGCTGACGTAGGTTTAAAGCTTGTTTAAAAACTTTCATTTTTGTCAACAAATCTTGATTGTGCTCAATTTTGTATAGTTGGATTAAATCACCTCGCAGCCTACGTTCTTGTAAGGTTGTCAAATTCATCATTTTTAATTGTTTTTTGTAAGAAGATTTTTTAAGTGATGGTATGAGTTTGATCGCTCTTCGTTGAATCTTTTTGATTTTGTCAATATGTTTCAGACACCAAACTTGTAAAGCATATTCAAGATGTGGACGCACAAATGTTATATATAATTTTTTAATAAATTTTAACAAATGTTATATATAATTTTTTAATAAATTTTAACAAATGTTATGTATAATTTTTTAATAAATTTTAACAAATGTTATGTATAATTTTTTAATAAATTTTAACAAATGTTATGTATAATTTTTTAATAAATTTTAGCAAATGTTATATATAATTTTTTAATAAATTTTAACAAATGTTATGTATAATTTTTTAATAAATTTTAACAAATGTTATATATAATTTTTTAATAAATTTTAACAAATGTTATGTATAACTTTTTAATAAATTTTAACGAATGTTATATATAATTTTTTAATAAACTTTAGCAAATGTTATATATAATTTTTAATAAATTTTAACAAATGTTATATATAATTTTTTAATAAATTTTAACAAATGTTATATATATTTATAATATATTTATTAAGGCGTTTTATCAATGGCAAACTCTGGCCCAAATACTAATGGATCACAGTTTTTCATTTGTACTGAAAAAACAGATTGGTAAGTTATCCAAAACAGCACTGAATTATCATAGAAATAATTTTTTTGGTTTGTCATATTTGTTAATATTGTTGCAAACAGCACAATACTAACAAATAAATGAAGTTAGTATTTTATTCTAAAGATGGCAAATAAATGTTACTATTATATTACATTTATTGGTTAATACAATAAAATTTCTATTAAGTTTTTAAAAGATATTTGTTGTCTCACGGCTTTTAACAGTTTTTTAACAGAAATTCAATAAAATTTTTCTGCTGACCAAAGAGAAAGTTAACCACTTTTAGGTCTGCACAAATAGTCCAGTTGTGTTCTGTATACTTAATCAAACCAAGCACCATTTTAATGTCTTTGTAAGTCTCTTGCAAATAAACAGAATGGTCCATTGATACAGAACCAAAAATATTCCTACTATGCAAAAAGACACATTTAAGGCTTTGTTTTGAACTATCAATAAACAGTCTCTATTCTGTTGGATTATATACAAAAATACCTAACTGTAATAGTAGACCTGAAATATCATTTCAGAAAACAAATGATTGGACTTCTGAAAAAAAGTTAATGTTTCCTTTCTTGTTCTAAAGTAGGAAACTTGTCAAGAAAGTTTTATTCAAATATATTTTACATATACAAATAAATGACTTCTACATTTGAAAAAGTTAAATAGAAAAGTTAAAAGTTAAACAAGGTTTTTGTATTGTATAAAACATTTTGTATAAACAAGATGAAAAATAAAAAATTATTCAATTGCAGAAGTCATCAACACAAAATTAAACTGCTAGTTTTATAAGTAATGATTTGTTGTAATGAGGATGATGTAATGAGGATTGGTGAGAGTTATAAACTACAAATAATGATTTGTTGTGGAGGATGATGTAATGAGGATTGGTGAGAGTTATAAACTACAAATAATGATTTGTTGTGGAGGATGATGTAATGAGGATTGGTGAGAGTTATAAACTACAAATAATGATTTGTTGTGGAGGATGATGTAATGAGGATTGGTGAGAGTTATAAACTACAAATAATGTAATGTCGTACAAATAATTTTTGTAGTGATGGATGGGGTAAAACATTAGTATAATATTAGTAATAATCATTTAAATAGGTATAACCCTACAATTTAACAATTAAACCCTACAATTGTTATTATAGAATACTAAATTTGGTTTTTTGTAATTATATAAAATGTATATTTAAAACATAATTAATATTCAAAACATTATTAGCAATTTCAAAATATTTAAATAGAATAACAACAACATCACTGTAACAATAATATGTAAAAATATTTGAATAGAATAACAACATCACTGTAACAATAATATGTAAAAATATTCGAATAGAATAATGTCCTCTGATGCAATGGAGTGATTTGAAAAATACAAAGTTCTTAAAAAAAGTAATTCTTTTTTTTTCCACTGATATTGTCATATCTGAACCATAGGTAAAACACAGTATTAATAATGCTTAAATGCATTAGATGTGCATAAATGCTAAGAAAACTCTTATATTTTGTAAATTAAATCGTATACAGATGAAAAAACTTCAGTTTCTGGAAAAGGTTAACTTTCTAATAAATGCTAACGATTCCATGATTCCAAATTAATTTCATGCAAAATTATTATGGTATGGTAATAGATCAAATCTTTCCAATCAATATGCAATGAAAAAAGGTATATGCGCAATACTGTTTCATTTCACCAACACAAATGACTTGCTTGAGCACCATAAATTTTGCCCTCGAGCTACAGAACGTTGGTGCAACTACTGGTCCAAAGGTCAAAATAATTACAAACCTTCCATCACAATTCTTCTTCAAATAATGTCTACTTCAATCCATGTTTAATTAAATGGTTGAAGATTTCTGTTAAATAAATTTCAATATACAAAGAACCAGAATCAAATTAGTAAATGGTTTAAGATATGGTCAAAGTTACCAAATATTATCAGCAAAATGATTAGCAAAAGCTTTGTCGCCAGGGAAACCATAGAAATTGATCATAATTCATTTTAAAGATGGACGCAAAGGAATATTGAAGGTTTTAGAAGACTTTGGTTTGAAAGGAGAAATTTCTGAGGAAATGTCCACATATGTTGAGAAAAAAAAATGTATAAAGGATTGCGAGCCAAAAAAGAATTAAATGATTATATTAAAAGAAAAAAGTAGTAAATTTGTATCAAACTAGCGTTAAGAAAACTTTTTTTAACAATTTAATTTTGTTTCTCTGTTTTCAATTTTTTTCTAATAACTATAACTCAAAACATGATAACTTAAGATTGAACACGATAACTTGAGTTTGAGCATTTAACTTTTGATTTTGTGGTTATGCTGATGTTGTACTTAGTGCTTATATCTGATGTAATTTTTATCAGATATTTAGTTTATAAAATACGGTTTGGGTTTAAATTTTTATCAGCATTTAATCCTATTGTGATTTCACTAAAACTGCTATAACTTATTGAATGATTTATCCAAGTCCTATTGGTTATCCAAAACACAATATTATATTATAAACATAATACCATATTCTACATGCAGCCATTTCAATTTTGCTATTGTTTTATTAGGTGATGTTGTTTCAAAAATATCATTTTTAATGAATAAATTTAACTTACTTTCCGCCTTTAACTTACTTTTCTATGATTAATTTTCTGTTTAAAGAATAAAAAAGTTTTTTTTATTTTTTATTTTTTAAAAACTACATCATTTAATGCATTTGACAGTGTTATTAAACTAAAAATGCATAATAAAAATATAAAAATTATTACTATTGTTATAGTAAAATAATTCATAAAATAGCTTTTTTATCCTTTTTAATATCCACCTTCGCAAATAGGAAAAAAAAAGTTTCAAAAATACTTCAAAGGTTATGCTAATGTCAGCAAAAGTTTATCAACGTTAAGCTTTGAGCATAAGTAAATTTTCTTTTAGGTTGGATGGAAAGCATGTTGTTTTTGGTAACGTTGTTGAAGGTTTAGATACCGTCCGTAAAATAGAGGTATATTTTTAACAGTAGCTTTTAGAGAATAACCAATTTGAATTTTTATTTTAAATTATACAAATGTTTTTTCAGAATGTTGGTCAAGAATCAGGAAAACCAAAAAAAAAAGTGGTAATTGAAGATTGCGGCGAATTGAAATGATTAACCTAACCCAATATAATTAGCCAAGATAATTTAATAGAGCAACAAATAAAGACGATTTGTAAGGAAACCGTGCGCGGAACATTCGGACCGTTTTCATAAACAAATTTTAAAATGGTCATTTGAAGCAGCAATCTTCATTTTAAAGTATGTTTCAAATTATGAAAAACAAAGAAAACTGATTTTATTAGCAATATATTTTTTTTGGATTATATATTACTAGCTCACTTTGTAAATTCATGGTGAATAATCTAAAATATATAGAATCTACGTCTCTAAATCTAGATTTTAACAAATATATGTTGTTGTTTTTTAAAACTGATTTGTTGTTTTATATTAAACTATTTGACGTTAAGCCTGAACGTTTATAACACCATGTTTCAATTTTTATGGTGCTTAACGCTATGGAGTACTAAAACGCCAATTATTTATTTGGTTTTTACTCTAATTTGGCTTTAAGCTTTTTTATTTTTAAGTAATTTTTCTTTATTTGGTTTTTACTTTTATTTGGTTTTAAGCTTTAAATTAGGCTTTAAATATATAAAATTTAAAAATATAAATAAAAGTCTTTAAAATATTTTATCCAAAAATTAGATATTATATGTAGTGAAACTTTTCAATTATCGAAAAAATGTAATTGGAAATTATATGTTGTGAAACTTTTTAATTGTCGAAAAAAGTCAAACCGATACAAAACAATAAAAAAGTTATAATTTATATAAAACATAAAAAAGTTAAAAAAAAAAAAGCAATAAATCAATAGGTTTACGTTTAGATAACAATTAATCCAAATAGTAAATTTTTTGATCAATTAAGAAATCATATATTTTACTGTTAGTTAAGGAATGCGAAAAATTGAGAATGCAAAAGAATCGATTTGTTCATTCACGATTTTCAAAGAGTCGATTTGTTCATTCTCGATTTTAAATGTATACTGTAAAATATATCATTATTACATTCGTTTGCAGAAAATAAAAATCTCTTTAATTCAAATAATGAATAACAACTTTATGCAAATAAAAATTATGAGCTACTCGATGTAATAAAGGCGATTTACAAAATATTCCAATACTTTTATTTGGAATTAGCATGATTTTGTCAGCATATCATGTCCAAACAAGATCTTTAAATGCCATAATTTTTTTTTTGTTTTTATAATATTTAAAGGTTTTTATAATATTTAAAGAAACTTTTCTTTTTTTTATATAATTTTCAAAACCTTTTTCCTAGCCGTAATAGTGTATCTAAAGAACACTATTTTGGAGTCTTTAGATCAATACCGCTCATCGGCATTAATATGAATTTAGTTAAAATCTTTTGAAAAATTTTCTTAATTTACTACTGATCCTAGTTCTAATCGGTTCTGACGTATATTAATTATATATAGTTGTCAAAACACAATATTTCTCTCAATTTTCACAAAAAATACTGGAATTCCGACCAAAAAAGAGCTTATAATTATGGAAAATTGCCAATAAACAATCAGAACAGATCATATTATTAAACTATAATGTTCATTTCACTAAAAGACTTGTTAATATAAAATCTTATTTAAGTTTGGACAAGCGATTGTGATTTTAAGATGATTTTTTTTTGAAAAAAAGAATTATGGGTCTGGATTTTTTCGCTACAAACATTTATATTTTATGATACCGCAAAATTTATCATTTTAAGTTTTTTCGTCTTTTCATAATTCACAGACCAGACCATTTAACGGAAAAATATCGTAGTCAACAAAATATCATACAGACGCTCTATTATTTTAAGGTGGTTCACCACTAAAAAAAAAAAAAAAAACCCAAATTTCATAATTTCAAATTAAAAAGTGTATAAAAGCATAATATATGAAAATAAAAAACAACCTAAGTGTCATTTTACAACAATTTATTCCTAAAATCGCGAAAATATGTCAAAAAGATAGCAAAATCAGTCAAATTTGAACAAAATTTTGAAAAACGATAACTTGGAAACCATTTAAAATCAGATCTTTATATTTTGCAAACAGTTTGATGCACATAAAACGAAGGGCCTGAACCAAAATCACTGCTATATTCTTAGTAAAAGTTGAAATTTTTGATTTTTTTTGGCAAAAACATCAAAATTTGGGGGGTTGGCTAATGAAATGAAATAGAAAAATGTAAATAATTTATCAAATCCAACAATATTTTTGGTTCAGGCCCTCCATCATTACACGTAGAACATGTCATGAAAATTTGAAGCAAAAAGCTTTAGTCATTTAAAAGTTATGATATTTCAAAAATTAAAAATTGCACAAAAAAGTGAATGAAGAAAAACAACAATAAACATTTTATAACTAATATAAATATCAAAAACTTCCAGATGAGTAGGGTTTAAAGGTTTCCAGTTGTTCTTCTTCATCTTGCCAACCCTTGTTAATTGATTTTAAATGTATCCTTCTCCTTTTTTTTTCAAAAGTGTCTTTTTTATTCATGCTGGCAACGCGTTTTTGGTCTCTACAAAATGAGGACACTGCAAATTTTACACCATTCTCAAGATTGAGGTGACTCATCACTCTCTGAACACCAGCAGTTCCCTCATTAAAATACAATACAGCTGAGTTCACTCCCAACTCAAATGAAGCTTTGTGAATAAAAATATTTTTTGGGCATCTAGACCATATAATACTATTAAGACCCTCATTAGAATTTTGTGTTTGACCATGAGTGCATTTTTTCAAAAAGTTGTCATCACTTAATTCTTCAAACTCTTTCTTAATTATATCATATATCCATACTGGTAAATTAACTTTTGGTATGTAAATGCTGTTACCTGAAGAGTTTCCTTTCTTCCATTTACACCAGCTATTAGGACCCACTGGACATAACACGTGGCGACGAAATTGATCAGGAAAATTAGTGCAATGGTAAAGAACTGCGCGAATGTTTTTTTTCATTTGGTATAACTTTTCATTTTCACTTAAGGAATTATTAGCTGCAGCCTGTCTAATAGCCATACCAAAACAGTTTTGTATTCTATTAACTGCGCATTCTGTCAAAACAAAAATGGATATGACCAACACACTCTATGGATTACTGCTAAGAACATCATTAAATGCAGAGGAATCTCCATCTCCCAAATAATATTTATAAATCAAATTATTTTTTTCTACAGAACGATTAAATATCTTTACCACACCAGCACTTTCCATAGCCCCTGACGATGCAGTGTGATTTAAGGAGCAAATATGATTAGCTTTCCATTCAGTATAACCTGGGTGATTTTGCTTTCTTTTCCACATTCTACATCCCCTACAATACTTGCAAAAGACTTCAAAGTCAGTACATCGCCCTTCTGAAATAGTGGTCACCACACCATTTAGTGAAACATGACCGCGTTTTTGCCATGAGCCATCTGAAGAAACTCTAATTAATTTTTTTCCTGAACCAATGTGCTCCTCTTTAACTTTATCTTTAACTTTTATTGCAGCTGCCTTTGTGGATTGTTCTGCTGATAATTTATATGCATTTTGAATAGTGCTATTAAGTTTGTTAAATGCATTGTTATTCATACATGAAGTGTTTGCGATTCGGGCAAAGTCCACTAAGGCTTGGTGGCCTTTCCCAATTTCACGAAAAGCAATAACGATTCTAAGGTTAATATCAAAATAATTTCTGCCTTGTTTAGGTACAGATTTTTTAACATCATCAGATGTATATGTACAATACTGAAATTTACATTTAGTACATTTAAAATTCAACTTGTGAGAAAATCCACTTCGTTTATCGTTGTCATCTGTAAAAACAATACAACTGTTACATTCTGGGCAACTGCCAATATTATCAATAGCTTTTTTTAAAATAGAGAAGTTTATTATAATGTTATAATTTTCTGAATTTATATAATTATCAGCTTTTGTTAAAGAAACTTTGCTGGCACTAACTGAAATATGCTCAACATTTTCGTCTTCTTTTAGGGTAGGGGTTTTGTTCCACTGGTTGCCACAAAATGCTCTTTTTCTTTTTGAACTCTTTTTTTTTTTGCTTCCCATTATATATAATATCCTAATATTTTAAAATATATAATATGAAACTGATAAGTTATACTAAATAATAAGAAAAATACAAAGCTTTTCAAATACAACAATAAATTATCACAAGATGGCTTCAGATAAATCATACAAAAATAGCAACTTCCATAGACTGTTACATTCTAAACTTTGACTATGCTGGCCTACTAAACTAATGCGTAACTAACAAAAAAACTTAAATCAAGGCAAAGAGAGAGGGCAATTATAAACATAAGTTTGCGTTGCTAGGGGCTGTTGCTATGGTAAAGTTATCTGATAAGGTCTAATTAAAGCAAAATACTTCAAAAAATACTCAAGATATACGAAAACAGAATCCAGAAACATTTTCAGCAATGTTGAATTACTATAAAACAAAAAAAATCTCAAAAACCAACTTTTGATAAAAATTTAGCTTATTTTGGTGGTGAACCACCTTAAAAGTGCCTTAACTACACCGAGTAATTCAAGTAATTGGTTTAAATAAACATTCCACGTTGAGACAAAATATATTTTATGTCATTAAAATGTGCTATAAACAATATAATTGCTAATACATAAGTTAGCTGATTATAAAATAAAGGTTATTATGCATTAATGAAATCGCTGAAAATTTATCTTTATTATAAAATATTTACAACAAAGTTAGTAAAACTAATGAAATATTGTACCAAAAACTCGTACAAACGTTGTATAGATGCTAAATAATTAGGAGACGTTATAATTTCAGCGAATTTTTAAATATTTTTTTAATCTTGATATAAAAGTATTCTTTACGTAGCAGCAAATTTATAAATTGTTATGAAAATATCAGATAATGGCAAATAATAAAAACTATGGCGCACCTTTTAAAAAAGAAGCAAATTAAATTTGATATAGATTTATTTTATCTTCAAAAAAATATAATTTCATGTCATCTTTTTTATCACCTTATAATCTTTGTATCTTTGTCTGATATTACATTAATTTGAATAAAATAAAATTGCATGAATTAGATGAAAGCCTTAAAATCCTGATCTTGTAACTTTGTGAAAAAACTTTTTTTAAAGTATTTAACTAAAATTTTACATTTTAAAAGTTTTTAAAGCTTTAAAATTTTAATAGTTCTTAATTTAAAGCAAACAAAATAAAATTGAGAAAAGTCCGCGCAGTGCTTAGTTTGAAACTATAAAAATTGAGTTTTCAAAAATGGCTCAATGAAACTGTATTTATGACAAAAGCTTTAAAATCTTCCTTTAAACAAATTAATGTATCTGCAAGTTTACATTAAAT